ACTACCAGAAACAAGTTATAATAAACATCCTGATTTTGGTGGAACTTATACTATTAAAGCAATAGATCAAAGTATTGCCATAAACAGAACATGGCATGAATTTAAGAAAGGCAATGAACAAACTACCTCACTATATTCTCACAAGTATAATGCAGAGAAGAGCTGACAGTTCTATTAAGTGGCACAAATGTAGGGAGAAACACTATGCATAAAGATTGATACTTTTAAATTTAAACTAAGATGAAGAGATTCATTGGGGATATATTATGTGTTGTATACCACTTATAGAAAAACATTAAATCTACAGATGAGGCAGAGGAGACAAGTTAATATGCTGATAGACTTATTAGTTTAAAGATTTAGATATATTACAAAATAGGCTAAAACAAATAAGATGAAATGTAATACGAATAATTTAAGTTCAACCAATACTTTTACAAACACCAGGAAAGAGAATATGTCTTCACAGGTCATTGAGGGGGAAAAAAAAATACCTGGAAGTTTTAATTGACTACATGCTCAGTGTAAACCCACACCATTTCATGGCTTAAAAAATCTTGACTTGTAGGTAGGTCTTAAATCAATAAGGAGGTAATAATTTCATTGTATCATGTTATAATAGCTACCATTTTAGCTGCATAAAACATATTCATTGCAGAACATCTGAAATGCAGATAAGAAAAAGAAATTAAAGATTACCCACAGTCCCACTAAAGATGAATATTAGCTCCATTATGGTGTTTTATCATCCCAGACTACTTTACACACATCATAAATGTTCACATACATTTTTTTTCTTATAAAAATAGGATCATACTAGGCTGGGGTTGTGGCTCAGTGGTGGGGGCTTGCCCAGCACATGCAACACCCTGGGTTCGATCCTCAGCACCACATATAAATAAATAAAATAAAGGTATTGTATCCAATTACAACTAAAAATATATTTTTTTAAAAAATAATATTATACTATGAATGCTCTTAATCATTTTTTCTTTTTTTTTAATTCAACAGTATGTCCAGCCCTACTATTTTCTATACTGGTTAAATGGCATCCAGGGAATATTGTTCATTTCCTGCCACCATATTTTAAGAAGGTAATTCCCAAATTTAAGAATATGCAAAGAAGGAGCTGGGGTTGTAGCTCAGTGGTACAGCACTTGCTTAGCACAAGTAAGGCACTGAATTCGATTCTCAGCACCACATATAAATAAATAAATAATAAAGGTCTATTAACAACTAAAAAACTTTTTTAAAAAAAAGAATATGCAAAGAAGGCCAAGAGTAGTGGAAAAAATGAATACTTAAGGTCTTAACACCTAGGATATATTGTCACATAATAGGCAAGGAAAATGAGAATTCTTCCACAAATTAACTAATACATACACTCAAAGAACTGTCCTGACAAATGAATTAGACCACTTCATATTGACCCAGTACAGGTGCCGACTACTGGAAGCTACAGGAAAGTAAATGAATTTTTTAAATAATAAGAGCTATGGGAAAGAAATGGAATAGATCTAGTCACTGGGAGATTTAACAGGGTTAGAATAACTAATCAGAAAGTGATGTTATACAGGAAATTTCTGCACTGAGTGAGAAGTTGGATTAAAGAGCCATTTCTATTTGAAGATTCTATGATTCCAATGAAAAATTGACTTGGAAATTTACTTCCAGTCTAATATAAAGCAAATCTTTAGTAATTCAGGCTTTAGGAAAGAGAATCAAACAATAAACGCCACCATTATATACAACTATAATGCACCAATAAAAAAAAAGTAGAGGAAAAAATAGTCTCATGTGCTTTAAAGATTCATGAGAATAACACTAATGATGAACACCTATGTGCTTAACATTTTTCATTTATTACTTTATACCACATTTAATCCTTATAATAACCCTATGTGACAGGTACTATTATTATCTCCTCTGTAGAAAAGGATAGTGAGGATTAGAGAAGTTTTTATGTTTACTTAAAAGCATTGTTACTTTTGCTGAAAATGAAGGGGTCACCCAAGCATACCTGACTATCCGTCATACAGTTACCGCTCGGTTAGTACATAATAAGTAATTGAAAGCATCTTCAGCAAAGTTCTTAGCTGGTAAACCCTCATAGGGCAGTCAATATTTTCTTAATTAGAAAAGAATTGATGATTTTTAAATTTAACTATTAGTAGCAAAAAAAATCTTCAGACTGGACTATCTAAATTGTCCATCTACCTTAAATTTTTGTGAATAAAAATAAATCCTGAATAAGATTTAAGATCTGTTAAAGGGGCTGGGGCTGGGGCTCAGTGGTAGCCGCACATGCCTAGTATGTGTGAGGCACTGGGTTCAATTCTCAGCACCATGTATTAAAAAAATAAAGATATATCAGCAACTAAATATATATGTGTGTGTGTATATATATATATATATATATATATATATATATATATATATATATCTGGTAAAGCAAATGTGAATCACTAAATTTCAAATCCTTGGCATTACTAATTAAATGATCTTGGGCAAGTTATTAATCTTCCTATCTCTTTAGTTCTCCATCTATAAAATTAGAATCAATTTCTTATGGTTGACATAGAAATGAATAAGATGATACATGGAAGTATTTAGCATAGGGTCTGACACTACTACTACACAAGTAATAAAGCAGGTAGAAAAAAGTGCCAAACCTTTTCCATAATTCATTTCAAAATATTAAAATATTTCTAAGTGTCATTAGGCTAGTTGAGCAGGGGGGAGTCACATTTTCCATTATTCTATAGATATCTTTTTTTAATATTTTATTTTTATGTGGTGCTGTTAGTGCCTACCGCGTGCTAAGCAAGCACTTTACCACAACCCCAGTCCAATATCCTATATATTTCTAATGACAATCATCGTAAAATAAAGTGATAGCTAAGTAAAAAGTGTCTTGTGAGAAATTTTATTTTATTCAAAGGATCACCCAAAGAATTACAATTTCAATTCTGATTTTCTTTGAAGATGCTATTTTAGTTGTTTATTCAGGGTGAAACAGATAAATGCAAATTTAAATGTTATTAGTTTCGAATTTTACAACTTCACTCAAATTACTTAATGAACTTTTCTTTTAGTTTGTTTTCCATGTGCATTCCTGTTATAAAGCTACTGCTCTACCTCTGACAAAACCAGCAAAAGAGAAAACCTACTATTTGAGATATATACTGTTATTCACAATTTTGGCACTTTATTTGCTGTTTACCATCATTTAATAGTTGGTATTTTACTCCTAAACTTTGACATCTATTCTTTTTTAAAAAATGACCCAACTGGGAAAGGAGTATTTGAAAGATGTCTGCCTTTGAATTCTGTCACAGTCTTTTTAAAATACCATTTGCCTGGATGAAATTAACCGAAGTTCTCACTGTTCTCAAAGAATTCTTTAGTTGTTTTCAAACAAACTGTTTTGAGAAACTTCTTTCAGCATTAAAGTCTAGCCATAATGATTTTTATAACTAATGTAACCCCTGAGATTTACATCACTTATAACTTAAAATTGTAACTAGATAAACTTTTTCAATAAATTACCAGTGACTAAAGGCAGTTATGAGAACTGTAGTCTGAAATATGCATACATGGGCTACTTGTTTTTGAAAGCAAAAATTTATTTAAAAAGAGCTTACACACAAGTCATCATTTCTAAGACTTACTGAAAAATATATGGTATATTCATTATTCTGAGGTAACTGTCATTCCAATAAAATGTCATTGTCAATGAGTACGTATGATAACATACCGGGCTTTTAAAACTCTCATCAAACTATTTTCCAACTAAATTTAATTCACTGTAATATGAACTTTTCATTTTCACTATTAGCAGTATCGTAATTAATTGCACTGACCACTACAACCTATGAGAACCCATGCAAAGAACACAATGTCATCACTCAAAAGTTTGTATGAAGCCCTGCCAAGAGTAAAAAGGAAGTTTTTAAAAACCAAGAAAATCACTTGGGATTTTTAAAATTTTTACAAGTATAGTTGGATTGCTTAAGAGATGTTGTGAGGTGAGGATATGATAACTGATGTCTCCAAAAATACTCAGGACAAACTGAACAGCCATGATTTGAGAAATAAAATAACTTTCCTTGAATTTTATGGAGTAAATGCTATTCAGGAGTCCTCCCTCCCAGGTGAGTTCATTTGTCCATCAATTCAACTTTTAATAGTTTCTCAAATATGCAAATCAACTCTGCTATCTCTAAGGTACTGCCTGATGAATAAAGACCTTGACATTTTTTTAAATGTCGTCTTAAAAAGATTCTCCAAGCAAGATTCGTCTCACCTACAACACCTTCACATTAAAAGGCCTCTAGTATATTCTACACATACTATCCCAATCCAGACCAAGCATCTTGCATCCTGAGATAATAATCAAGTTTATGTGGAGGTGATTAAAAGTATTGCTGGGGCTGCATAATCTGCCTCATCAAGTTTTACACACTCCCAGAGTTGATGACATCTCCTCAGGTTCACTTTCTTCATTTTGTGGGGGTCACAACCCCAGGGCACAGCAAATGCCTTCTGCAAGAGAAGGTAGCAGCAACCCGAGGCTGTGGCTTTGGCAGGATAATTGCATGCACGCAATAGCTTCTCTGTCAGTTTCATTTAAATAAACCAAAAAAAAAAAAGAGGGGGGCTAGCTTGAAGCTGCAAATATATTTAAAAAAAAAAACAGTGATGGAAATCCGATTTTCTTCAAACCACACTGGTACATACACAAGTTCTGCAACACAGCTCAGAAAAAAAAAAGTAGCTGGCTGACGCATTGATGGAAGGCTATTTTAAAATTACTCAAAGAATCTAAGGCATCAATCTGGGAGTCTCATGCCTCCTCTCCATACACACAGTCTGTTTTCCTACCTAATTTAAGAATGAAACGCTGGCAGCCACCAGGTGCAAAAACCGTGAGGAGGAGGATGTATCCATCACAATGCATAACGAGGGGTGCCATCCCCAGAGCTGATGCCCGTCCTTACCTTAGCAGATTAGACAGGGGCAGGGGTCCGGATCCACCGCCCAGGATCCCTCCTTTCCTGCCAGACAGGAGTTTCTCCACCAGAGCCACATTTCCAGTGCGAGCAGCTTCCAGCAGCTCCTGGTCCTTCCCCATAGTCCCTCACCGACTCCCCCAGAGTCCTTTCCCTCCTCGGGTCCTCCTCCCCGCCCACCCCCACTCCCCGAAATCCAGGGCTCTCCCGCCCCACCCTAAAATAATGCAAGCGCTTCAGCCCGGAGATATTCCTGCAGCCCACGCCGAGAACACAACGCTCTCCTCTTCGGGGCGCAGCTTTTACAATGGGGACCAGACCAGGTCCTGGAAGAGGGGCAG